TTATTTGTTCGTCAATCGTTTATAAAACAAATACATTTGTCTTTTCACATAATTATTCTGACAGTAAAATATATATACTGATCAACCGCGAAAGAAACGATATGCTATACACTACAATCTAATACAAAATTATTGAGATGTAAATTATAATAAATTGAAACAAAGTTTATTGTAAAGTACAATAAGAAAATATACCCAAAAACTATTATTTTTTCCCCTCGAGAATAAAGGCTACTGAAGTGGACAATAAGAGAAGCAAGACTCTAACGGTCAAATAAACTGATGTAGAATCAGAAGGGGGTGGGCCAATAGGTGGACTCATGGTGGTCGCCTAGGGCTTTCAACGTTGGTGGTTGGTGCACAAGCATTTGACTGAGGAGTCGGCGACGAGTGGGTGATGGGGGTGGTCGGAGGAGTGGCTGCCGATGGATTTGCCCCGCCACAAGCCAACGTGAGAATGCAGATCTAGTGGTGGTCCCAGGTGGAATCGAGAGTGATTTTCGCCGGTCTGGAGGTGATACAATACCCAACATAACCCCACGCACTTACATTTCCAGATATAGAATGATAAACACATGATAAACCTAACAACTCCCAAGTCCTAATTATAAAGACGAATATAGACTCCAACAAAAATTATTTTCAAATATCATAGTATACATGTCAAAACCAAAGCAACCCTACCAACTAACAACGTCTGTGACCTAGCTCATAAAAGTTAAATTCATTGTCATCTGCCCACACCTTATAACTACATGTGGCCCATCTGACGGAACTCCTCGAGGATTGACGGCCCATGAACCAACAATAGAAATGATAACTTCAGAAAATAAATACATTTTTTTCTGAACAAAGGTTTGAAAAATACCTGCATGATCAAGAAAATTAGAAGACCTCACTTCATTACAGTAATAGCACCAGTAACCTTTGCCACCGCCGACCGAAACCCCACAATTATCCATCACCGTAATAAATAATAATCACGTTCTCTTTTATGTTGAATGGGCCCGGTTTGAGGCTAAAGCTCCACCACCCGAACAGAGTGTACTCCTTTGTCGGAAGAGTCGCCGCTGCCGACCGACAGCACCGCTATCTGCATAAGATTGGCCGAGATGGAGAAAAGTGGTTGCGTTTTTCTTATATGAAGAATTTGGGGAGTTTTGATTTTATTTTGACGTGTAATTTTGTTAATTGATTATGATTCTTGTAATATTTGTTTAATAGACATTTTTTGATAAGTAATAGTCAACAAATTGGAATTCATTTATCAACATATTTTTTTCTTCCATTTGAACTGATTTCAATAATTCTTTTAGTCGCGTGCAATTGCTATAGCTCGTCAATTTTTTTTAAATGAGTAATTCAAATAGAATCAATAGAAAAATGAATGTTATAATCTTTTTATTTTATTTGATTTTTTGTCTAAAAAATAGAATAGAAAGCCTTTAGTTTATTTTGATTAGAGTTTATAAGGTTAATTAGGTAATTTATGTAAAGTACTATGTGTGTACGAAGATGTACAATGTGTTTTTTACTAGGTTTGTACATTAATTTTCAAAATCCTAGTATTGTACTAGATCTTACTAGGTAGTACAAAAAAATCAAAGGATGAGATTAAAAATAAAAAAAATCAAACGATTAGATTAAAAATTAGTTATTTTGTACGCACTAGATTAAATATCTTACGGTCCAAAAAGTACAATTCTCTCGGACCCTAGACAACCCCTTTTCACAATATCGTTATCAAATAGGAACTTTCCCCATAAACCTTAAACCATTGAAAGATGATTGAAAAGACAAAAAAAAATAAAAAAAATTACCTTTTTCTACTACCGCATACATATTGTTCGACGACGGTGAAGAGAGAGGAAATAGGGGTGGAGGCTGAGGCGGCGCTGGGTGGGGGCTAGGGTGGCGCCTAGACACGGCCACGAGCCGGGTTTGACCCGGAGCTGACCCGCCCCATTGACCATGGACCCGGACCTGATCAAGTACGGGTCGATTTCGGGTCCCGATAATTTGGACCCGGGACCCGACGGGGGGACCCGAGGGCCCGGACCCGAGGACCCGTTGGGTCAACCCGAATTTCCGGGTTTTTTTTCCAAAAATTGCGTATGGGGGGATTCAAACCGGAAAAATGGGCAAAATTGGGAAACTCTAACTACTGAGGCAACCAATATATTTATTTAAATGTAGACAATAAATATATATAATATAAAACGCTAGTGTAAAATGATAATATGTTAAATAGATTACTAATTTTCATATTGATTTTAATTAAATTATTAACAAATACAATATAAGAAACTTAAAAAAAAATATATAGAATCACGGTTCAATACTTCAAAACATCTATTATTAATTACTATATCAATATAATTACCACTATTAAAAAATATAAAGTATTGAATCAATTCAATATATAAATAAACGCATTGACTTAATACAAACTCACTTATGTTATTAAAATCGATAGTGTGAAAAATTCGAATGAAAAATAAAATAAGATGTTTATTTAAAAAATAGATTATAACTCATTTCAATTAATTTAAATCAATTAACCTCAATTGTTGACAAGAACTTATTAAAATTATTGATTATTTTATCATAAGATAATTATTTAAAAATATAGATGATGTTTATTTTAATAAAAATAGATTATATCTCATTCTAATTAATTTCTTACTTTAGAAATAGAACTATACATGACGAGTATAATCAAAATATTATGATGTGATTTCTCTTTTAATAATTGGTTTAATTTGTAAAATTCGTAAGGATTAAACCGTAGGTCATATGATTTAATCATTTTTTTTATATTTAAATTTTATTTAAATATTATAATCGAATTGTAAGATTTAAATGGCTCAAGTCCTTTCAATTTTTTTTATTACATTATATTTGTTAATAATTTAATTAAAATTATTTCATAATAATGAATATGACAATCAATAATCTATTTAACATTATTTCTTGTAAAAAATAATAAAAAAATAGAAAAATCGGTTTGGACCTGGACCCGACCCAGACCCGGCCCGGACCCGGATAGACCTGGGTGGACTCGGATCTGCCTCCCCGCGGGTCGGTTTCGAGTTCCCTAAAAGTCGGACCCTGACCCGGACCCAACCTACCCCGTGGCCATGTCTAGCAGCGCCGATGGTTAGAGAAGAAGAGCTGAACGGAAGGAGAGGGCAACGGTGAATAGAAAAAAAAAAAAAAAAGAAAAAAAAATCTAGAGAGCAAAAAATGGTACACGTTATTATGTTCAAGGAGCGAGATTTGTGGGTGCGATTGAGAATGTGATATTAAGGGAACAGATATTACGTATATTTATATTCAACCCTAAGATATGTTATAATAAGATAAGGATATAATTGTGATACTTAATTAATTTTTATTAATAAAAAATGTTTTGGATTATTCTTAAAAATAAGAAATGTATTTTGGCTCATCCTAATTGCACTTATGTGATGAGGAGGTTTTGTCAAATTTTAACTAAATTTAATGGTATTTTAATCTCTTACACACTTGTGCTATGTATTTTTGTCAAATAATTTTTTGAAGGGGAAATTGGTTAGAGACACCGTATTCTGGACTTATATAGCTGGAGATCCAAACTGTTAGATGATTATAGGTCTAGGTCCTATGATAAAAACAATAATATAAATAAAATAAAATAATTAGTACATTGCATAAACACCCTTAATTAAAAAAAAAAAAAGTAAATCCCATATATCAATCTCCCTCTCTCTCCAATCTCACGCCTCTTTCTCCCCTATATCTAATCTCTCATCTCTCTCTTCTTCTCTATCTCGTGCCTCTCCATAGTGTCTCTCTTGCTTTTCTGTTTCTTTTTTTCGATAAACATCTTTTCCAAAAAAAATTATGATCGATTTCTTACTCTCTTCCTTTTCTCGATTCCGATTTTTTTCTTTCCTTTTGATTCCTACCATAGCTAGAACCTTCAACAAACTGTGAACAAATATTTTTCGTTTGGTTTTTGGTTGTGGGACATGTTGCTTGTTCTTTGTTTGGAAAAATCATTTGCTATTTTTGGAGACCTTGTTTGTTTTTTGTATTTAATTTCTACTTCTCCAGTTGTTACGATGGAAGGCAATTCAGGAGATTCTCGTCCCGATCTTGGGTGGTGGTTCTACGGCAATCGATCCACGAGATTTTGATGCACCTCTTCACCGGCGTTCGGAATCCACCTTATGCTTCGTCCCCAGCAATATCTTCGTCTCGGTCTCTACCATCCTCGCCGAGGGCTTTGACTGGTTACACTCAATTGATTGGGTTCATTACGACGGCGCCGGCTCTAGGATTTGTGACGGAGTTAGGACTGGTGGCAAGGATTTGGGGTGAGTACCTCGGTTTTTTTTTTCTTTACTTGTTTTCATTTTGAATTTTGCAATTTCATGTTACATATTGTTTCTCGTTTTGAATTTTGTCTTCAGTTTGATGTTTGTATTTAGAGAAGTTATATGTAATCTTTTTTTTGCAACTCAATAGATTTTTTTTTCTAGTTTGCTGTTTTCTGGGTGGATCATTGGTATTTTGTTGTTTGTAATTCAATAATACAAATTCTACTATTCAATTTGCTATTTGCAGTTCACGGAGTCATAGGCGTCATTTGATATTTGCAGTTCACGGAGTCAGTTTGCTATTTGCAGTTCACGATAGACGGTGGCGAAAAGGCGGTGTCGTTTTTAGAGTATGAGTTTGTACAATAAATAGTATATTTTTTTTTTTTACCAATTTATTTATTTTTTTTGTTAATATTTGCGAGAGATGTTTAAAAATTTGTTTTGATAAAGAGGTATTTAGGGGATTCGATTTGATTTGACTATAAGTATTTTTGACACAATAAGTATAATTAATTTATTAAAATATGGAGATTTTGACTTGAATTTATATAGATAAATTATAAGATAGAGGGAGCTATGCTAAATTGCCCATTTTTTGAATTGACTTGGTTATAAATAAGTAGAGCAATAAACTTTGTAATACGCCTAAAAGAAGAACGAGTCGAATACAAAAAACTTCAAGTAGAATTTGTTAAGAACATCGAAAACTGGGAAAGTATCCACATAATTAATAAAGTCAGTTGTTCCCGCCACAGAGGTTAAGAAATAAAGAGAAATGGCAGCTCGTTCGAAAACCCTAATGGAATTTCTCCAGCAACCAGCGGCGAAACGGACCAAGAGAGTCTCTTCGCCTCCACCACTAAGCACCCGCACCCTTTCCGACGCCGCTTCCACTTCCACTTCCTTGTCAGCCAATTCTTTGGAGCAGAAGGCGAGGATGGAGTTCAACAGAGCCCTCGCCTTTTCCAGGCGAAACCTCAAACTCTGCACCGATAAAGTCTCGCGATCAACGGCCGCAGGTATTTATCTCATCATCTGCTTATCATTTTCATTGCCAATTATTTAATCATGTAAAATGAAGTTATTTCTAAAAATTGCTTATTTTTAAGAAAATTTATCCCCTTGATATTCTTATTTACCATTTCCAGGGTGTTTTGACTCCTGCACAATACATACTTTTCGTTATTTCACTACAAATGCATTTTATTTCTTTTGTCATTATTTGAAATGGGGCAAACAAAATATTATCGTTGTCTGAATTGAAGCAATTTCACTGTCCTTCCATTTCTGCCCATTGTTTATGTGATGTCTTCTTATTGGGCTGGTATGGTATATCGTTTTATGAAATTATGTACTAAATGAGTAGTTTGTGAAGTTGGAGAACCTCTTGATGGAGGAGCTTCTATTGCCACATTGCTTTCCATATCTGCTGTAAAAGCAAAACAATCAGAGAAGCTATATGAATTCCGGTAGAATAAAATGTTGGTCGGTCATGGACTTTTTTATGTGGAATTTCTTCCTGTTGACCCATATTTTAACGTTATTTTTAGGGCATTTATGTTTGGGATACGTTATCTTTGCTCTTCTGTTTAATGCAATACTATCATTGTGTTTATATTGAGATAACTGCTTATAGCTTGTGATTTAGCATCCTTGGATGCATATGATATCTTTACGATTAACTGAGGCTGTATATTCTTGTATGATATGAATAAAGGAGGAGTGGGGTATGTGAAGTTGGAGGAGCTACTGGTGGAGAATACATGGTTGGAAGTGCTGCCTGGGGAGTTTCAAAAACCTTATGCGAAGAAGTTGTGTGAATTTGTTGAGAGTGAGACATGCAACTCTAGCTCCCCAATTTACCCTCCTCAGCATCTTATCTTTAATGCGCTTAACACCACACCGTTTGACCGGGTGAAGGTGGTTATTATTGGACAGGTAAACATTTTCTTTGCATTTGAAATGAAATCTCTTTGTATTCAACTCAATTTATATTAACTTTTGTTAGAAGGTTAGCAACTTATAAATTCCGTTGAATCAATGTAAATTATCTGTTGGAATATCTCAGGACCCATATCATGGACCAGGCCAAGCGATGGGCCTCTCTTTCTCGGTGCCAGAAGGTATAAAAGTTCCTTCAAGTCTGTTAAACATTTATAAAGAACTTCAACAAGATTTGGGATGTTCAATTCCATCTAATGGGAATTTAGAAAGATGGGCTGTACAGGTAATAAATAGTCTCTTAAACTCACTCATTCTCATAGTCTGTTAATATTACTTGCAGTATAATCTATGCCCATTTCTTATAATTTGTCACCTGAAGGAGTGCATGTTGACGGTTGTTATTGTCTTCAGGATGCCACTTGAACTGAAATCCTGCAATTTGGGCTGGAAAAATGTCCACTGTGTTTGTATTTGTTTGTGTTTTCTTTTCCTCAAAATATTTTGAAAAGATTCCTTTGGATATGTGTTACTATTACTGATTACTGAAATGCAAAGGTTGACCAATTTTGATGAGAAGTTGTCATTTTGAAAAAAAAAACACTTTTGTAAATGCAAAACAAAGAATGCTTTATGAAAATAGGTTATAGCTTTGGAAAAATATGGATGAAAATTAGGATGTCGCTTTGAAAATTAGGTGGTTGTTTGGAAATATTTGCTGATTCTGTGAAACCATCTAGAATGAAACATGTTTTCTGCTTGAACACATTAGTTCATTTTGTGGAGATCACACTTATGACCAAACATAATCTGCATATTCTTCACTTGACCAATTGCATCATGCATAATATGATATAATTCACTTACTGTCAAGGCCATTATTTTGCTTTTTCTGTCACTGTTGAATGTAAATGCATTTGCAATCTACTCTTTCTTAAGGAAGAACTCCACTGTGTTGATTTGTAGGGTGTTCTCCTGTTAAATGCTGTTCTTACAGGTATGTTCCTTGTATTTTCCGATATTATTGTAATATAAGGAATAATTTTCTAAATTTCTTGTAGTCTTTTCTTTTCTAGTGAATACGAATTCCAGTTAGTGCAAAATTGACATAGATGGTCAATTTTATAGAAATCGGGATATGTATTTTGTTGCTTGGAGGAGAATGAGAGCCCAAAAATGCATACCCCTAGATAAAGGCATGTTAGGTACAGATATTTTTCTCGTTACTAAGAAACTGACAGAGGAGATCTCTTGTCATCGAAATAATAGTACACTCCATTGAAATGATGGGCTCTTCCATATTGTAGTTCATTGGGTGGGGTTTGCTTTAATTCGTAGAGTTCAGTAAACTTCTCAACTACACCAATATGTGCTTTAGTATTGCCTAGCTTGAACATCACTACTTCGAGGAGTATGCATAGTTATTGGGTTACAATTTGTTAACAAACTATATATTTTTTATTTTTTTTTTGTTTTTTACTTTAAGTTTACTTTAGGGATTCCGTAGGAATTTTCTTTAGTCCTACACTCTTACTTTATGAATATGCAAGTAAACAAAAACTCAATGTTCAGTGTAAACAATTTTGGGATTTGTTTTAACAATTTCTTCAAGTTGTTGCTAATATTGATTTGCAATAAACATTTACACTGTATGCATTCGTGCTATATCAGAATGCTTTTACGGTACTCATTTGCTATAAGAATTGAACAGACTCTCACAAGAGAAAGAGAGTGTTTATAGAAACATCTTAATTCATTCATTCCTTCATTATTCATTATTCTTTTCTTATCTGAAAAACAATTAAATTTATTAGCAGGTACCATTTTGTATTGAACTGTAATAGTCTAGAATAAATGCCATATTAATTTATTGAAACCTCCATGATAATTCTTCTTTTTTTTAAAAGGGGCACCATGGAATTTATTATTAGAGTATATATGATTGCATGCTGAACTTTTGTGGCCTTACGTAAACATTATTTTTCTAACTTATTTGCAGTTAGACAACATCAGGCTAATTCTCATGCCAAAAAAGGGTGGGAGCAGTTTACTGATGCTGTGATTGGAGCAATATCACAGAAAGGAAAAGGAGTTGTTTTTCTTCTTTGGGGAAATTACGCTCAAGCCAAATCAAGGTAATTTAGGTTATTATACATGGTTGAATATAGTCCGACATGGTTTGATGAATGAACTTAATTATCAATTAGTAACACATATTTGTGGTTCCGTGTAACTTATGTACTTTGGTGACCATAATAAGAACTCTCACTTCTCGAATCTAAAATGATAGCTTGAATGCTTGATTGTTCATAATGCTTGGTAGATTTTCAGTGTATTCTTCGTTATATCTTATGCCTTCGAATGATTCTCCTATTATAGAAATCTTCGGAATTCGGGCATTGCCAACAAATCCCAATTTTGAATTTCTGTAGTAGCTGTCGTCACTGACCTTTGATTGTTCCTCGGATTTGTCCATAATTGATTCGGATAACTGATCATAAACATATATATTTTGGTCCTTTTCGATTTAATTCATTATTGTACTCTGTTCATCTTCAGAATCTCATTATTTACTTGGCTGACTTGCAACCTCGGCTGCAAGTATTTGTGCAGTCTGAACCCTACTGAACTTTACTTCTCTATGCTGAAATCTGTTGAACTTACCTTTGCTATTTTGCTCAGTTATTAGTTTCGCTGGTTTTTTACTGTTTATATATATATATATATATATATATATATATATTTGTCCTTTTTCTTCTGCATTCTGTGCATAGTATATGGTCTACTCGGGATCATCTGTGCGTCATTGGTTTTAGTTCACCGCAATAATATTGGATATGATAGTCAGATCCGGTGAACTACATTTACCCAGTCTCCGCAGGCAAGCCTTGTGGGTGATAAAAAGACTGAGAATAAGTATACCATCTAAGGGATGCTGTACAGCCCATCTTTCTATATTCCCGTTAGATGGAATTGAATATCTGAAATCTTGTTGAAGTTCTTTATACATGCTTATAAGACTTGAAGGAACTTCGACACCTTCCTGCAACTACCACTACCCTTCCATTATCTCATAAAATGATTTATTTCTAGAATGTCAAGATCAAGTCATTCCTAACCCTCAGCCTAGTTTGACATCAATGTATGTAATTTTGACGATTTCTGGCACAAATCCTACTAATCCTAAAAAAAGCTTCAACCACGTATTCTTAATGGTATTTTTTTTCTTTCGACATGTTCAAAGAATAATAATTTATGCATGTAGTTGCATATCAATTCTGCTGTTGATTTGCCCTTCTTTAAGAAAGTGTACGAAAATCTATAATTGGGCCGAAAATTGAGTTTAAAATAAAGCAAATCGCATCCTAGTCTATAGATTTACCAGCGTACGGGAATATATAGGAAGCAAATATATTTCATTTTTCCAATGATTTTTCTTTTTTCATGCAGGTTGATTGACGAATCAAAGCATTATGTTCTGAAATCAGCACATCCTTCTGGTTTATCTGCACACAGAGGCTTCTTTGGATGCAGGTACATTTCTTAATTGCATATATTAGTTTACTTTCGAGTAAGGTTAATTACTCCAGTGTATCTCCTGAAGTTTGCTGTTTTGTTGGATTGGTATTACAGATAAAACAATCTACTAGCTTGATCAGATGTCTAGGTTTGAACCATGGTATCTGAAATGCGTAGTAGAATTAATAATTATGGTAAACTACATCTGTCTCGTTATAAGAATCTATGTGTAGCAGTCATTCATTTAATTCGAAATAAATGGAGAGTCAACTTTATCTTGTCAAATGTGTGGCATTTGATGTTGTAGAAAATGGACTTGATATTTATCTTTTTCGCGAGTAGTCTGCTCAATTTGGAGTTGCACAAGGTATTTTGCTTGTGTTGGTAGTTCTGTATACTTCAATAGTGGAAGAACTGATTGATTTTTTTAGAATTAGTAAATATGGTGGACACATTATATTAAACGATGAAGATTCTAATATCCGTACGTTGGTCAAACTTTTACATTTGTAATTTGTACTTATATTAGATTCCTTTGACTCTACTACCTTAATTTCAGGAATCAATAATTTAAACCAGCTTTCTTATGAAGAAGCAATTTAAACAGATAGTTTGACTATGAATATATATCATTTGCATACTTCCATTATCTCGATATCAGGGCCAACAGATTATAATTCTGCAATGTCTAGATTATAATTCTATTAACACCGATAAAACAAACAAAACACAATGCAGAGAAGTAGATTAGGTTTAGTAATTGAATCAAATATGAAGATGGAGGGAACTCTGAGTTAGCATCCTATGCCAGCTTCCAGTAAGTTGGTGTGTTTCTCATTGTTTATTCTATTGTTTATGTTCGATGTCCCATGATTTATGCTGGCAGTGGTTGTTTTTTCTTTCAACATGCACAGTATGTCTTGCATACCAGTTATTTTGGGTAACAAATAAATTGATAGTTTGGGCTTACAGCTCTGGAGTTATATGAGTTGGGGATGCCACAAATTTGTATAAACTCAAGTCTTCCAATATGTTTATATATTATGGAAAAAAAAAATAAAGGTGTTCGAAATGTTGTTTTTTGGTTATTAATTGCATTTTTTTAATCTCATTGGACAGGCACTTTTCTCGTACAAATCAGATCTTGGAGAAAATGGGATTACATCCAATAGACTGGCAGTTATAATGCATGCATCAGAAACCCATTTTACGGAGCCTCAATTTGAAGTCTTCTTTTCTGTCTCAACCACAAAACATAGCATGATCCTTGGCCTTTCGGATGTTATATATTGATATTATGAAGTAGTAAGACGGAAAATATGATGTGTTATATATAATATATGCAGAGGTTATCAACTATATGCCACAGTCAGTGTCGTCTGTTCTAATTTTATCCAGGCTATGTTCAGAGTCGGGCCTCAAATTATCTCATCTAAAGGCTTAGAGTGATTTTCTTCCAGCACACTTGACCAGCAAGCATGCATGTATATGTCTGTCTGGAAATGAAGATTGCTGCTGTGGTTCCGCTGCTTTTGTTTTAGTTCAGATGATGTTGAATCCTGTTATGTAAGTATCGTTTACGCTACTACATATTCTCGAACAAAAGTTGTGAAATTAATGGTTGAAGTTGTGGTAGTACATCTATTACACGCTATTTTTTTTTCATGTAATTCCTTCCAGAACCTTGAACCTCGTCATATTCTTCGTCTGTGAACAATAGTTGTAGTTACAATGGCTGTCCTAACATTCAAAGTTTTATATCTTGCACGGCGTCATGTTTTATTGAATAGGGAATTCTGAATATTGTCCTCACGGGTTCGGGAATTACCAAGTACAGGGGCAATTGTAGCTAAGGGCTTAGGGTGGGCTCAAGCCGAGCCTAGTCCAATTTTTTTCACTGCTATATATTTGCCTATCCAATGTATATTACTTACTCTATTTTATACATAATTTTTAGGGTAAATTACAAACACCCCCCTGAGGTATGGTCAAATTACAAAAACACCCCTCTTGTTTGGATAATTACAATCACCCCCTCAACTCTTCAAATTTAGTGGAATCTTCGAGATTATATGAAATATTATCACTTTTATACCCGTTTTATACCATTCAAACTCTACATTATGAAGTAAGATGATCATAATATGTGATTTTTAGCTTGTGTATATCAGTTTGTAGTGCATCGAAAACTGTATTTTTACACAAAACAAATACAAACTAGAGCATTCCACGGAATCTAGATGATTATATTGAATTTGACACAATAAGGGTGGAGATGTAAGAAAAAAATCATAGTTGAGGGGTAGATGTAATTATCCAAACAAGAGGGGGGTTTTTGTAATTTCACCATACTTCAGGGGGTTTTTTGTAATTTACCCTAATTTTTATATAGATGATAATACTTTAAATTTTGGACAAAAAAAACACCAAATTACATACATAAAAGTTGAAACCCATAAAAATGCTTTACAATTTTGACACAAACTAGGACTTCACTAATGCGTTAAACACGGAGGTCAGTTCAAAATGACAAATAAAAAATGGGCGAATAGCAAAAAGGCCCATCACATGGGACTTAAATGCATTTTGGTCCACAGAAAAAACAGTCTCTCAATTAAGCACATCCCCATGTCTTTAGTCTAAAATACCCTCAACAATATAATTCTTATCAATTCCACCCATTATGCTCTAACTTCCTTAATATTACACATTGACCCCATATTTAAACAAATATATCACATTAACCCCCAAAACTTTTTTTTCAGAAAATAAATTTTTTTCTGAAATATTCAGATTCCGGCCAGATTTCCGGCGCTGACCGCCGGTCTCCGGCGTTGACTTTTTTTATTTTTTTATTTATTTTTTTTTTTTTGAAAACTTTTTTTTTTTCCTGAAATTTTTTCCTGCCGGTCAACCACCGTTGACCGCCGGTCTCCGGCGTTGACTTTTTTTTTTTTTTTTTTGAATTTTTTTTCTTAGAAGAAAAAAATATTTTAATTAATATTACTGTTTTAGCTACTAAATTACTGTCTCAGACAGTAATACTACTGTTTGGGACAGTAATATTATGAATATTATTTTTCCGAACAGTAATATTATGAATATTATTTTTCCGAACAGTAATATTATGAATATTATTTTTCCGAACAGTAATATTATTAATATTATTGTCTAAGACAGTTAAATTACTGTTGAAGACAGTAATTTAGCATCTAAGGCAGTACTATTAATTAAAATATTTTTTTTTAAGAAAAAAAATGAAAAAAAAAAGTCAATTAACAGTTAAATTACTGTCTCCGACAGTTAAATAATTGCTGGAGACAGTAATTTAGCAAACGAATACAGTAATATTAATTAAAAATATTTTTTTGTAAGAATAAAAAAGTCAATTAACAGTTAAATCACTGTCTCCAACAGTTAAATAACTGCTGGAGACAGTAATTTAGCAAGATACAGTAATATTAATTAAAATATTTTTGAAGAAAAAAAAAAGTCAATTAACAGCTAAATTACTGTCTCCGGCAGTTAAATAACTGCCGGAGACAGTAATTTAGCAGCCAAGACAGTAATATTAATTAAAAAAAATTAAGAAAAAACAAAATTATAAAAAAAAAAAAAAAAAAAAGTCAACGCCGGAGACCGCCTCTCCGGCGGTCAACGCCGGAATCTGGCCGGAAAAAAAAAACATTTCTGAAAAAAGAATATTTTCTGAAAAAAAAAATTGGGGGGTTAATGTGATATATTTGTTTAAATCCGAGGTCAATGTGTAATATTAAGGAAGTTAGAGCATTATTGGTGGAATTGATAAGAATTAGGGTTAAAATTGGTTAATGGATGAAATCGGGCTAAATTGGGGTGTAAATCATGAAATTGGAGTTGAATTGGGTTTCAATGAATTGGAGGTAACTTTGGTATATATATGAAATGATTTTCCTTATTTGTAAATAAGTTTGAATGGGTTGGATTTATTTGAAAGACAAAAAAATTGGATGTCCCTCTTTTAATTATGTGCCTTGTCATGGCCCTATTTGCCATTACCCCATAAAAAAATATAGTACATATGTGAGTGATTATCTCTTTGTAATAATTTTAATCTAAATCCTTATCCTAATTCTATTACTAATACTAATCTTCATACAAATCATAATCCTAATCATCATGTTAATTTTCATACAAACAAAAAACCTCCATCTAGGAAATATAGTTAAGGAAACATCCCCTCTAAAAAATAATTAGAGAAAATCCTCTTAGATAATATTTTACCCAAATGCTATTTTAATAATTCTCAAATCATCCTTATTGATATTAAATCTCATTTTCAAGTTTCAGAACCCTAACACATTTCATTTGTTCTCTTCTCCTTTTCTCATCTTCTCTCTTCTCTTCTCGAGTGAAATTCGAAGGAAAAGCAAGACGTCGTCGGAAAACGAGATAAGACAGCGACTCTGGAAGAATGTTTGATGGGGACCGACGGTGGTGTTGGTGGAAAAGTGTTTGCCGCCGCCTCCCGCCGCTGCGTGAGGGGTGGTGACGGATCTGTAGTTGGCGGCGGTGGTTTCCACCAATGACGCTAATTCTGATGGCTGGCGCTCGTCGTCGAGGACGCAGTGGGTCGACGGCTACGGGGATGAGGCATGAGAAAATCACTGTTGCGATGATGTTGATGAAGGTATTTGTTTGTTTGTTTTTTTTTTTTTTTTTTTTGTTTGACTATTTACTTTTATTATTGTTTTAGTGTTGGTTTTGTCACGAATTTAGAAATTGTTTATGAAATGAACAACAAGGGTTGACAAATACCTTGAATTGTTCCTTTTTTTTTTTTTTGGACATTTAAATGCTTATTGTGCTTTTTTGTATGAATTATTTATTTTATTTATTTAACTTTTTCTTAGGGATTGGTTGGTGTGGTGTGGGGTCGGGGTGGTGACGATGGGGAGGCAAATTTAGGGTTTTCTGGTGGATCGAAGATGTCGGAGGACGGCGCGTGTAGAGAAATTCACGCATGTTATAACCTTAATCGAGTACGTATATGTCCAATGGTCG